TTTACATTCAAATTCATCAATTGATTATATTCACTACATTGTCTATTATCTTATTTTTCTGTACTATGTTTTAATTAAATATCAAAGTTATAATACAAAATAATGCTATATATATATATATATATATATATATATATATATATATATATATATATATATATATATATAAAGAAGGGGGATACCCTACATATATACACTACTCACCTCAACTGAGATTCAAACCTTACAACTTCCACTTAGGGGAGCAACCCAATACTAGTAGACCACAAGCCACTTGGTGTTATATATTTATTTACCAAGTATTTTATTAATACCACGAAAAAATTAAAATAATATAATTAATAAAGCCAATCATATTAACTATTTGAGGGATTTGTTGACAAAGAGAGTATTCAAATCACACAACAAAATGAAGTGAGAACTACCTCGCGATGTCTTTGTTTGACAATCAGGAGTTAGCGATTAGCGTTAGCGGATTTGACCATCGAATTATATCAATGGCTGTTTAGATTAACATGTAAAATGACCTAAGGGTATACATATATTTAATATTAATAATAACTAGTTATCCACCCGTGCGATGCACGTACAAAGTATAAAGCATATCAAAATCAAACAATTGTTGACAATATCAAAACTCAAACAATATGCGACTGAATCTCAACACAATTTGATGTTACATTATCTGCAGTTGTAACCAATAATATAAATTCCAATTAATTATTAATTCAAATTGTAGCATCTTAAAACAAATTTTAAAACAAAATGCTTAATTTGATATAGAATAATCTATACTAACGTGATTTTGCCTTTTTTTTAAAAAAAAAAAATTAAAGAACTTTGAATTTACATAAAAACTAAAAAGTGACACATGGAATTGATATATAATACCTAATTAATTTTCCTATACGAAGGACAGAAAAAAGTGACACATGGAATTGATATATAATACCTAATTAATTTTCCTATACGAAGGACAGATATATTTCAAAACTACACATGTAAAGAAAAACAAATGTTTATGATAATTTATAGTAAGACTAATATTTCTACATGGACTTTTCATCAATAAATTGAGTTTGTGGATTTAAATATAAAATTCATAAATGATATTTATAAATTGGAACATAAAAATTTATATATATATATATATATATATATATATATATATATATATATATATATATATATATATATATAGTACATTTCAATTGTGGTAATCATTATTATTTACAGACGGACCTAAGAGCTCCAACAAATAATTGTTCCTACAAATGCAATCCATGCACACCACGATCTTGACATCGAACATCAAAAAGCTCTTGGTCATCACAAATTTCTACATCAATTCAATATAAATAACATTTATTAAGTAATTAAGTAACATAATTAAAATAACATAGAATTCTTAATTGATAACCATATTATAAAAGCATACCATAATTAAATTTAAAATACAATATTATCAAGTAAAAAATTAACAAAACCAATTATTATGATAAAAAAAATAAATAAACAGCCCAATCCATTATGATACATATATTAATACAAAGCTCTAAAATGGAGCCCATTCTATAACCCAAACCCAACCCACAATACCAGGCCCTATAAAAACAAAAAACCTAACTCTAACCTTAACCTAATCTGCTACCTCCGCCCCCAACCCTGCGCCCTCAGCGCTCCGACCTCTCCCTACGCTTCTAGAAACAAACAACTTCACCGATGGAAATGGTAACTCGCTTCACTGCGATTTCTTTTTCTTTTAACCAATTTAACTCGGATTTCTTGGATATGTGTAACAAATTACCCTGGAAACAGATACATTTCAAAATCTACTCAAATTTTACTACATACCCGCGAATTTCTCCACACAAAAAACCCCTAGAAAGAAAACCCTACATACCCGCGAATTTCTCCACACAAAAAACCCCTAGAAAGAAAACCTCACTGTCCGGGAAATCAACGCCGCTGATCTGATCATCTACAACCTCACTGTCCGATATTCTATCTACGATGGATGCGGAAATGCAAAACGGAAAGATCAACCGAACAAAAGGGCCAAATCCATGAAAAGATAAGTGAAAAAACCCTTCCTAGATACATGCTTTTTCTACAATTTTTTGAGATTATTCAACATGCATGCGATTAATATGTATGGATTTGTATATATATAATAGTCGAACTATTTAATTTTATTTTCTCTCAAAAATGTATGTATTTTGTAATGTGCGAAACCATTTTTTTTAACAAATTTATTTTCTGTTCAAATGCATGACGTTCATATGTATATTCGAATGTTAGCATAGGCCTGAATCTAACAAAAAAATCTTTGACAGTTTAAAAATCTAAAAGTATAAACTTCATAAATTTTTAACACTAAAAGACATTGATACATATCACTCTATATGTAAGTTTAAAAAAAAAAACTAATTTTAAGTAAAAATTAAATCACACAAAACAAAAAAATTTAAAGCTAGAATGCTAAGAAAGATAAAAACAGTTTAAGGGTAATTAATTGTAATGGGCAGTAAGTAATGACATAAAATGTGAATTTAAGAAAATGGAAAGAAAAGAACTAACCTGTTAATCTTTTGCTTGATTATGATTGGTTTCATCTTGGAGTTTCAGAAGTCCTTCATTTGGAACTTTGGTGTAATTTTAAAATCCTCCATTTAAGCCTTAGATCTAATATAGTGTTATTATCTACCAAAAAAGTAGTGTCGTTTACTGCTCTAACCTTCTACCCCATAGATTTTTATGGTAGTGTGTGTGTTAAGTGCTTAACTCTTTACTTTTTTTTTTTTTTTTTTTTTTTTTTTGTTTTTTTTTTTGCATCAAGGTTGAATTTTTAAGTGGTTCGGCTTATCTCTGCTAAGAGATGAGTGAATTAGTTCCTCCATCATGATTCTGGCATAATCTTCTAATTGATGCATCTTATTAGTTTGTTAGAAAATTAATTATAATTCAACAAAAAAATCTAGACATGTTTCACTCTTAAATGCCATATATATATATATATATATATATATATATATATATATATATATATATATATATATATATCACCTCTATAGAGAACTCAAAAGCCACTATCAAGGATTACAATAGGGTACTTAATGTTTACTGTCAATGGTTACCCATGCTAGTAGAGTAGTAGGGCTATCTAGGGGTAAAGTAAAAATGTTGTGTGTATTGGTTATTGTGTAACTTGTAGTCTAATCAAGCACAGAGTGCATCATTTTTTTGTCCTCATTAGATTTTTCAATTCAATTACTAACAATCTACAATTAGAGATAAATGATGATAAAGGAGTGTGATGCCTTTTTTTTGTTAGTTATTGTCTTATGATACAACTGTTTTGTATTATAAGCTAATTATTAGGAGTTCACCCTTTCAAAAAAAAAATTAGAAGTTCACCAGAAACCATATCAAGAGAACAAACACAATATAAAAAACTTATCATCTCTCTCTCTCTCTCTCTCTCTCTCTCTATATATATATATATATATATATATATATATATATATATATATAGATTTACAATCAAATAAGACAACCTATTTAGGTGAGAAATAAGAATTGATTTGGAGCGTCCATCTTAGATGTTTTGATGGTTGGGATTGCCCCCCCTCCTTTTTTTTTATTGTGTAAATACTAATGAATAGGGGCTTTAATGTAATTGTCTTGTGTTTTATTTTTATATTGAGATTCTATCCGTATCTTCTCCTTGTTTTTAGGAGTTTAAATTTTGGTGGGATTCAGTTTTTGTTTTCTTCCCGTTGATTCTCTTTTAAATTTGTGTAGGAATCGTTTTTTTTTTCCTTCCCATTGTTGATTCTCGTTTGTCTACCATCTTCAGACGTTGGTGCACTCATTTGCTGAAGATTGACGACGTTCTTCACCGTTGCCTAGCTATGGAATGTGTTAATGAAGGTATGTGTTCCTAAGTTTTTCTGAGTTTTTTGTACTGTGGTTTAATTATGGCATGTTGCATCAGATTGTGCATGTGGGATCATTGTCTTTGTTCTGTAATTCATTTTTAAGGGGTTGGAGTGTGTTGGTTGGAAGCATTTTGTTGTTTATGTTTGAGGGTTCAAGTTGCATGCCATATATGTGTTTTCACCCTGTGCTCATGTGTACATAGTACCGTGTGGCTTCCCCTCCATTGAAATCCTATACTTTCTGCTTAATCGTCACAGAGGTACGGTCCCTTTTGTTTTCAGTTTCAGCGAACAACAACACTGTCGCCCTCTGCCCTGTACCCCCGTCCCCCTAATAAATCGCCAGACCCCTGATCTGGGTTGTCCGTTCGGAGCCGGAAAACGAGTACATTAAAAAAAAAAAAAAAAAAAACCAGAACAACAAAAAAAAAATGGAACGTACCTCTGCTTTCGGACACAGTGGTGGCATTATTTGGTTGTTATAGAGTTCATATGGTTGTTAAATTATGTGCACACTGTGGTTTTTGTTTGCTACTATTTTTGTTATTTCTCAATCGTCGGTGTTTGTTAAATTTTCGCTTCACCATTTGGCAGTGTCGCTTTGTGGTGATGAAGTTTCTGCGAGTGATAGTCGTGGGTGCGTCATGGATATTTCTCCAGGGAAAACGAATTATTGGGTGCCGGTGTGTGACAATGCGATCAATCCATTCGTTGGTCAATGGTTTAGCAAGTTGGACGATGGTGTTGAGTTCTATATCCGATATGCACGTACTGTTGGGTTTAATGTTCGTCGTGGCTCGGATTCAAAGAATAGTTGTGGGGAGGTATTGAGGAAGTATTTATTGTGTTCTCGAGAAGGATTTAAGCAGCCTGCTAAGGAGTTGTGTTCGGGTGGTGACGTGCTTAATGACCCCTCAGTACCAAAGAAAAGGCGTCACGAATAGGGTTGGTTGCAATGCGAAGATTATTTTCAAGCTTAAGGGGTATGGGGGTTATTCTGTGTTCTATTTGGAGGAACGACACACACATTGTTTGTACTCGGAGGCATCCAAGCCATTTATGAGGATTAATCGCAAGTTGGATCTTGGGCATCAAATATTTGTCGCTAATTGTGCGAAGGCAAATATTGGTTCTATTAAATCGTGGAAGCTTTACAGGCAAATGGTTGGAGATTATACTGATGTTGGGGCCACTGGTGTAGACTTTCAGAATTTTAAGCGTGATTTAATGGCATACATTCGCGGCGGCGATGCACAATTGATTACTGAGAAGTTCCTTCATAAAAAAGAGTTATGGTCTTCATTTTTCTTTGACTATGATGTGGATGAGTATGATCAGCTTTCACGTGTGTTTTGGGCAGACCCAGTAGCACGACGGAATTTTGCGTGCTTTGGGGATGTGGTTTCTTTTGATGCGACGTATCGGACGAACAGGTATGTGCATCTGTACTCGTTGGCGTGTGCATCTGTGTTTTGTTGGTAGTTTGTTATGAATACCTTTTTACATACATGTATGCATTCTGATTTTTTCCCCTTTCTTATATTTCTGTAGGTATAAGCTTGTGTTTGTGCCATTTACCGGCATTGATAATCACAAGAAATCAGTCACGTTTGCCGCGGGGTTGATTGCAAAGGAAGATGTTGAGTCCTATGTCTGGTTGCTTGATAATTTCAAACGAGCTATGGGCCACGAGCCAACATACATTATTACCGATCAAGATCCAGCCATGCGGGTGGCTGTCCCCACGGTGTTCAAGTCTGCACGTCATCGCTTCTGCATGTGGCATATCATGTCAAAGGTTGGTGACAAGGTGGGTTCAGTGGTTGCCAAGGATCAGTCGTTTCGCCGTGCTCTTAATGATGTTGTTTGGGATGAGTCGATAACAATAGAGGAGTTTGAATCTAAATGGCTTGGTGTTATGGAGGCCTATGGTCTCAGTGAGCATAGGTGGTTCCGCCAGATGTTTGATTTACGTGCATTTTGGATTCTAGCTTTTTTTCGAGACTTGCCTATGGGTGGTTTGTTGCGAACGACTTCCCGGTCGGAATCGCAGAATAGTTCATTTGGGGGTTGCACTAATTGTCATGCGAGCTTAGTGGAGTTTTTCTTTCATTTTGAAGGTGCTATTGATTGCCAAAGGCATAAGCAGGCTAAGCTCAATGCGGCATGTGAGGGCCATTTGCCAGTGGTGAAGACGCCTTTGGCAATTGAGCGGTATGCAGCTGCTGTTTATACTATTACTGTATTCTATGAGGTGCAGGCAGAGATTGTGGCTGGGTGTTTTGATTGTTCTGTTGTGTCTTCCGCTGTTGATGGTGTCTTAAAACGTGTTGGAGTAGAAGACACATATGGTAATGTGTATATTGTTGTATATAATCCAACCGAAACTACAGCAGATTGTTCCTGTCGGATGTTTCAGCGTGTGGGCTTGTTGTGTAGGCATATATTTCTTGTCTTCAAGGATGCTCGTTTGGATTCTATTCCGCCTTGCTACTTGGTTTCTCGGTGAACACGTGATGCCTACAAGCATCCAATTTATGATATAGAAGGGGTTCATGATGATGTTGTTGTAGGTGTGGCCAATAGCAGGGGTGATTCGAAGCAGGTTTGGAATGATTTTTACAGTTGTGTTGCTCTTGCCAGGCATAGCTCGGATCGTATTATGGAGTTGTCCCGTGTTTTGAAGGAGTTGAAACTGTCATTTGTCAATGCCGACACTAGTATTGGTACGTCCATTGGTAAGTCTGGTGTTGTTCAGGCGTTTGGTGGTGTGATCACGTCTTCTAATATTCTTGTCCACCCACCAACCGTTGCTAAGAATAAGGGTTCTGGGAAGCGGTTCAAATCGGCCAAAGAGCTTGCTGCAGAGAGAGCTGCAAAGTCTACACGAGAGTGCAAGACTTGTCACAAATTTGATGGGCATGACAGTCGTAATTGCCCGCTTAAAGACTTGTTTATAAAATAATTTGTATGACAACCGTGCGGTATGATGGACATCATCACGTGGGCATTTAGAAATTGTTTTAGATTTATATTATTTTACGCAGTTTAAGTACGTACATTGGCTGTAATTAAGTTAATCTGGCTACTAGTATATACTTGTCTTGTTTTTTTTTTCCTACAATGAATATACTGATGTTTTTTCAATTACCGTCGATGGGTGTGCTCTGTAGTTTTTGGTTGTGTGCCGTTAAGCAGTCGTGCATTTCAAATCAGTGAGGAGTGCACATTGCTACTCACGCTGTCAACTTTTAGTGATTATAATTAATTTAATCTAGCTACTAGTTTATGCTAATCTGGTTTTTTCTTTTTTTTCCTACAATGAATATTGTTAGAATGTGTTGGCATACGTTTGGTTTTCCATGCGTGTGCACCTAAGGTATTAAATGCATTGAGCTTATTTCCAGTACGTGGAGTGTGCACTTCAGAAGCCTAGTGCGTTTGGTTTTCCATGCGTGTGCACCTAAGGTATTAAATGCATTGAGCTTATTTCCAGTACGTGGAGTGTGCACTTCAGAAGCCTAGTGCGTTCGGTTTTGAGTGATGCTTTATTACGTGTGGAAGTGTGCACCATAAGGATATGCGTGTGTGGCTGTGTGCCGTTGATAGTCCTAGGGTGTGCACTCGCTGCTAATGGGGTTGCTCGTCGTCACAGCCGCAAATGTCTATTCTACTAGTCAGTCTTTATTCTTTACTGCTGTTTTTCAATTGGTACCAGTGGTGTGTGCTCTGTAGTTTTTGGCTGTGTGCCGTTAAGCAGTCGTGCATTTCAAATCAGTTAGAAGTGCACATTGCTATTCTCGCTATCAACTTTTATTGGTCTCCACTGTATACCATGCCTGAACGCTGTCTGGTAATGATGCAATGTAGCAAAAATATGTGTACTATAAGCTGTTTCAAAAATACAGATATGAAGTAACATGTGCACCACTACATTCAGTGTGCTCAAAAAACCCATAACAAAGTCAACAGAATTAACTATTTCGTAATAAATTGGCTGGTTCTAGTTCGCTCATATTCTTAATCTAATCCAAAAAAATAAATCACTGTCCACCGTTGCGCATTGTACCACCTCATGTCAGTTGTGGTGCGTCACATAGTTGCGGAATAGTCCATTTTGGAAATCAATTGCACGTTTGATGTTTTCAGCTCGGTGGTTGTTGAACTCTGACATTAGGATTTCGCGCATGTATATCATTCTCAGGTTGCGTATATATGAAAGATCCCCTTTTTTCAGTCCACACTTCCATGTTGAGTAAGTCTGGCCCACAAATGTTTCCATGTGCCGCATGGCGTAAATACCGCAGTCGATTGTGTTTTTTGTGTCTCTCCATGGCATTTGCATTCTGGTTGGGATGATTCTTCCGATGTCAGCACCCTTTATAATTGAGACTTCGTCGTCTATGAATGTGGCTACTAGGTCTATCTGCTCGTATCAGTGTGGATAACAACCCGTTAAAGTTTGTTTGAAATTTGGATATGTTGTTGTCAAAATGTAGAAAGTATGGTGGGGTATGCTTACCAAGTCCTCTGGGATCTTCAAGTACTTTTTCTCATTTGGCATGCGTACAGATGAGTTATCAATGATTTCAGTTTTCATCTTTACCATGTCCACGCTGATTATGTAGCAGTGCCCGCTTTGGAGTATCGAAAATATGACCTGCACAACAGTTGGTCAACACTGGATTCCACACCAAAAAATATATATGTATATATATAAATATATATATATAGGTACTATGCATCGGCAGTGTGTACTTATACTCTCAGCCCTGTGCACTCTATTTACTGTGTGAGGTGGGTGGCGTCTTAATATTTCCATTGTGCACTTTGCTAAAGTGCTCTGTGCACTTTGCTAAAGTGATCTGTGCACTTTGCTAAAGTTCTATGTGCACTTTGCTAAAGTTCTATGTGCACTTTGCTAAAGTGCTCTGTGCACTTTGCTACAGTGCTTTGTGCACTCATTCATTTTAGGAATCTAGCGAGGTGGTTTCGTGTGTGTTGAAGTAATTTTTAGTGTAGGACAATTTAGAGATACCATGCTCACTCACCATGTCTACATCAGACCACTTTTGGTACGGGGATAGCGTGAAATCATCCTTCAACCTTTTCGTGAACCATATGTACCTTTGGTTCCTTGATTTGTGGGGGTCAACAACAGTTCGGTGCTACAATTGAATTGTCATTTTCAATACCCATTTCAAATGAAGGGCAGTAAGTATACTTGTATGGTTTAGATTTATACCGTTGTTGTTGTGGATGCAAATACTCTTTTTGGGCGTCCCGTCGTGTTCATTGCCTCACGGCAATTCAGAATGCAGGCCCATGTGTCAATAATTCCAGCAGAAACTAGGGTGTCCATCAGTAAAGAGGCAAAGTCCCCGAGTCGTGCCACCCTCTCTTTGTAGCTGAATAACACCTCATACCTGTTTGTGAAATATGCAAAATATTAGTATATTTCAATGTACGCAAGTAATAATTCCCTTTTTAATAAGTATTATGTCAGCTAATACAGGAAATAAAGCAAATATATTTGTTACATGTCATTGTTGATACTCTGTGCAATCCATTGTTGTATAACAAAGGGCTGTGGAATTTCTTCATATGGCATTCCCATAATCTGGCTAACATACTCCGTTGACCATTGCCATCTCCCCGTCAACATTGGTGGGCTCATTTATGGGTGGTCGTCCCCTCCTCATGGGTGCGCCAAATGGAGGCACACACATATTTTTGGTCCCACTATCAGGAATACCAAGTAGTTGCTGAAATTTGTTTGCTATTAATTGTTAGTCCATTGTCTTGGTCACACAAATATAATGTATTAGTTGGGTAAATTGGGTTTAACATCATATGGAATACCTCTGTTGGAGTATGGAATATGTCACCACTGTTGGGTGCATTATTTTCTGCCGGGGCATCGCGATTGTCAGTTGTAGCTGCGTGCATTCTAGCTGGTGTATTATCTCCACGATTCACCTGTGTTCCATCATGGACGATGTTATCCTGTTAGGAGAGACTAAAAGTTAATGCTTTTTTGGGTACCACACTTTGTGTTTTAGAAAGAGTCCTACGGATGCTCACCGTATTCAGTGTGTTGTGCCTTTCCATATTACCAATACTTGACGCCATTACATTCATGTCCAGTTGGGTCAACCCCAAGCTGAAACTTGGGATTTATGACTTTTCGATTTGTTGCTGAACATCTCTTTCGACCTCCTGGACCCACTGTATGGTGTTGGGGTTGTTCCAGATTTCATCCGAACACTGCGTGTCACCCGGTTCAGTGGGTGGTGTCAAATTCACCTCGGCGGTCCCATGACTTCCCTGCATTTTCGTTAGGGTTTGCGTCCTGTCTTGGAATTGTCTGAATATTTCTTCCTTCACCGTCACATCATCAGCCTCCTTAATTAGATGCTCTATGTCCTCCACAGTCTTCTTCAAGTCCATCATCACCTGCGTGAGTCGTTCTTCAAATGGCTGCAATTATGGGGTCAAAAACTAAATGTGTTAACAACACCTGCACTTTATGCATGGCACTGTGTGTGCACTTTGCTATCTCATCGTGTGCCATGAATTATAAGGGCAACAGTCTTTAATACACATAATAATATTATTAAAACACATGCTGATGCTGCGTGCATCTATGCTTTGCCCTGGGTGCACTCATGTGTAGTGGTGCTCCTATATATGATACAGTTTGTGCACTGGTCATAGTACCCGTGTGCCATCAGCTGAACTTTGATTAATGGTAGTGCACATACCTTTTCCCCCCCACTTATTTGGTGAGAATTTGCAGCATCTTCTGGTGGATCATCATCTACTCTCTCTTCACCTTCCAGATCAGCGGGTAATAACTCTCCATGGCCGAACCCCCCTAGTCGTATCTCTTTAAATTCCCGATCTCTCATGTGTCTACATGTCCATCCTTTGATGGCTGGTCTTTGACGGGGTACTGCGTTGCCAACAAACTTCACACGATCCATATACAGCACCTGCATTTTTTAAACAATTATTCACATCCCCCTTGCACATTTTGGTTCTACTACAACATTTTTTCTATAACATGTGTTTGTTTTGTAAGCATACCGTCAGGAATAACAGTGGGCCACTGAATCTCTTGTGCTTCTTTGTCATCCATTTCTCGTGGGTTTCAACGAGGTTGATCAATAGATACTTGCACCAGTTGAGATTGGATATTTGGGTAACATCATCTAGGTCGTCGATGAAAAGCTGGTGGCAATACCCATTTTGCATTGATCTTATAATTGTGCTTACCAACAAAACGGTGAAATGCCGCTTGAACCAATCACACCCTTCTGGGAATTCATCCAACATTGATGAGACTTTTGCTGGGGTGATGTTGTGCCTAGCTGTGAGATAGAAACCCCTCCACTCTAGTAGAGTTTTAGTAAGTTCGTTCGGTTTCCGATTCGTTACTTCAACTCCTCCGCGTGGTAGCCCGAACACAGCTTCAACCTCATCCTCCCCAATTGTGATTGTTTTGTTATCCTCTAATCGCAGCGTCCTCGTCGATGCGTCAAAATTTTGTAGCAACCAATTCCCCAACCTCTTGGGTGTCTCAATAATTTTCAAGTGCAGGATTTGCTGGAACCCAATCGATGTAACTGCTTGGCGCTGTCTTGCATTCAATGCATTCAGTGCATCCACAAGTGGCTTCCCAGTTACACGGGTAATCATGCTCGGGTACTTTGTTTGCTCTTCTTCATTTAACTCATACTCTGGTTCATTCCTCAATATGTCGGGCTCAAGCCTTGGGTTGAGTCTTGTTGGTGGGGTGACGAAGTCGTCATCATCATTCCGTGTTTCCACCGGCTGCTGAGGTTCCTGACCTACCCGTTGTTTCTTCACTGCATTGCCGTCAACCACAAACAGTTAATATATCAATTGTAATATTCACAATTACATGGGCCAAAATGAGAGGGGATGTACTCCTATCACCTTTTTGGATAACAATTAGAACCAGTAAACACATTCTATTAGAACCAGTGACTACTCATCAGGAATTCTTGTAAACAAAGGCAACCATTTTATCCCTTATTCCATGACAGGGTGCACACACGTATGCTTAACTAGTAGAACCAGTAAACACATTCTAAAATAACCACCTTGAGCAAACCTTCATTATATGTGAACACAAGTCACAACACTGTTATTTGAAGGCCTAACTAATCCAAACAAATGATCACAGTTCCATCTATAATATTTTACACATGATAAAAACCAGCTTTTTGAGGTGCACAAACATGTGTATCCCATTATAGACTAAAGCACTTTAAACCCTCTCCCTAACTAAAACTGTCAACCATTTTAAAATCAACCATTCTATTCTCAAATATTAAAATATCCAACATTCCATATGCTTTGTGTAATTAGTTTTGCAGAAACACACAGTAATGGTAGGTACATAATTGTGGGCAAAGGTATTTCCTACTGCATGCACCGTGTGTCTTCCCCTCCATTGAAATCCTCTACTTTCTGCTTAATCGTCACAGAGCTGGAAAACGAGTACATAAAAAAAAAAAAAAAACAAAAAAAAAAAAAAAAAAAAAAAAAAACCAGAACAACAAAAAAAAATGGAACGTACCTCTGCTTTCGGAGCGATTCATTGTTCCCCGTCGTCGTTTTGCCCGTATTTTCGATCCAGACATAGCTTTGGGACGGTAGTAGTGCGTTACGCCGTACGGTGGGTTCTTCTTCGCTGGTTTCTCGGGATCCGGCGTACGTGGACTGGTCACTAGTGGTAGGGTAAGAGTCAGCTTGGGAATGTGATGTTGAACAACGCGTGAACACCCTTGGACCAAATTGCCCTTTTAACGATTATTTTGAACATTAATGCTCGCAAATATGCCGTGCTATATTAAAATCTATACATCTAATCTCAACCGTAGGTCCCTCTAAACGATTGGCTATGATTAAGTCTTATTTCTCATCTGCCATGGTTGTCTCATATGAAGCCTACCCTATATATATATATATATATATATATATATATATATATATATATATATATATATATATATTCATACCATCAACAACACGAATACTATACTCTAGACTTATAAGTTCCCAAACCCAAATACAAACAATCTAAAATTACATTATATTACGAATACTATACTCTAGACTTATAAGTTCCCAAACCCAAATACAAACAATCTAAAATTACATGCAAGCTATTATAAAAGAATCTGTGCTTTTTTTTTTCTTTTTCTGATTAAAGTGTTCTAATTAATTTTAAACCTTTTTTTTTTCTGATTCAACATAGATAAGAGGATTGAGAGAAGTTTACCATCCTTCCAAGCAGCTGGAGCTATCAATATGCTGAGGCAGCGGAGTGGCGTACTGTGGCAGAGATATTGTGGAGGGTATCCTTGGCTTGGGCAGGTAACTGGGCGGAGGATAAGCATCCTTGGGATATCCTTCTAACAGATAACCTATTCTAGAATCTCAAAAATCCATCAGATCCGTTCCGAAAAACGGCAAAAAGACGATTCAATCAAAGAAGATTACTGAAAAAAACTTACCTTGAGGAGGTGGCACACCGACGGGAGGCGGACTCTGATAGTTCCGCACACAACGCGAAGCTGCGCACCAACAACCCCGGTCATCTTCTTCATTGATCGCATAATATGAATTTTTTTTTACAGTTTGTATTTGAATAGAACTTGAAGTCTCTAGACACGTATCTTCTATATATAAGCAAGCAACTAAGGTAGTGAATAGGCCACTCCTCTACAAATAGGAGTAGATAATAACTTTGCAACACGCAAATACGCAATAGGCCACTCCTCTACCAATATAGCCTGACACCATACCAACTCTGCAAACACGGCCACTCCCCTACAAATATAGCTTGACACCAATTCCCTTCTGATGGTCAAACACTAAAGCCCAAAAAAAAAAAAAAAACAACTAAACGCTGTCGTTTATCATGGGCGGGAAAATGGATGAATCTGATTGGCTGAAATTTAGTAGCCTTTATATGTATATAGATTGTTTTTAAAATAAAAAATAAAAAAAATATAATTAAGCTAATCATATTAACTACTTGAGAGATTTATTGACAAAAAGAGTATTCAAGTCACATAACAAATTGAAGTGGGGAAACTACCTCGCAATGTCCTTGCTTGGCAATCAGCAGTTAGCTCTCTTCAATATTAGTATATATTTAATATTCTATGCCCTAATTTTTATTTGCTCTCCCTTATATCCCGTATTTGGTTTCAACCATACATATACAATTATTTTATTGACAATTATAATCAATCTTAACTATATTATCTTGCATTTGTAAACTTAGAACTACCTATTTAAATACACAAATTCCATTCAATTATTTATGCATGAACAATTCCAATATAATCTTTCCTTGCTATACTTTAAAGTACTTATTTAAATTAAAAAAAAAAAAAAAAAAAACATTGGGCATGGGGTTGATAGAGTACTAATTATGCCAACATTGGGTATGGGGTTATTAAGAGTAAAATAGAGTACTAATTATGCCAACTTTGATTGGAATGTGGTTCGAACCTAAGACCTTTCTTATTGAAATCAATGAGTAAGTTAACGGTGAACTAACAGAAATTAATGGAAAAGATAATATTTAACGGAAAAGTTAACGGATAATCATATTCATTAAGGATAAATTAGGAAATCCTAAAGAAAAATTAAAATCTAATTAATCTGAGCCAATCATTTGATTAAAAAATTTTACCGTCATTTTTCTACCCATTATAGGCCTAACTCTCTTGAGCTCCAATCATTATTGTGTGGACCATGGTGCACACAAGTTGTGTGGACCATATTTTGTCTACTGTAAAATAATGTATATTCAGTACAAAAATAATGTACATTATATTCAGGGAATGTACATTATTTTTGTTCCGAGTGTACATTATATTGTATAATGTACATTCAGTACAAAAATAATATACATTTAGTATATTAAAAATGCACTTTTTCATATGGTCCACATAACATTGTGTGGACCATGGTCCACACAATAATTTGCCATTTGGCTCTTATTAGTATAGTAGATATGATTTTGTGCGATTAAAAAAAATATTGAAAAAAATAAATGGAATTATATCATTTAAAACATATAAATTATTAAAAAATAACATATAAATTATTTAGGGCACATAGTTCATTTAGGATAAGAAAGTATACATTTCCAGTCCAGCCCAGCCTTTTCTTGGATCCATGATATTTTTAGTATGCCCCTGCTACAGCAGTCGTTATATCATAGACCGCAGTGCACA